CCTAATCTTTATTTTAATTCTTAACATTTAAATCCACTATTAACTAATACTAACTCTATTTCTAAATTACAGTAATACGATTCAGGCACCGACAACAAAACAAAGAACTGACAAAACGATAAAAGGATGAAAGAATGAAAGAATGAAACAGCGAAAGGATGAAATGGCGAATGGACAAAATGATGAAACAACGGCACTATAGAAAAAAAAAAAAAACACTACAAATAAAATGGCAGTATAAAAAAAAAACAAAAACATAATGAAATTACAATAGAAACCAAGAATAAAGCTGAAAATAATACTAACGGTAAAAAAAGGTGACAACACCAACAATGACCGGCGATGTTAAAAAAAAAAAAAAGTTGGTTAAAAAAAAAAGATTTGTGTATGTATTTATTTTTGTTACGTTAATTTGTGTAACAGAAAAGAGCCGACATGGTTACATGATCCCAAGATAAGACCAAAGATCAATTGATTACATGACCCAGAAAATCTTACCTACATCCTGGATCTGTCTCTGCAAATAAATTGACTCGATATCTGATACTATACCAGTAAGATATTTAATTTATCTTTCTATTCTAATTGTGATTGAAATTTTGCTGTAACGAACTTTTTACTACAAGTTTTAAAACATTAATATAATCGCTATAATTATTTTTTGATGCTCTAGCACATTTCAAAAACAAAGTATTCTTGTTTTCAATTTCACAGTAAGTCTTCAATAAATTCTTGCTCATTTTTGTTTGAATCATGAATCACTAAATATTTCGTTTGTATTCGTATATCTTGATTCCAGAGTAATCTAAAAACAACTTACTAAAAAAAAAAAAAAGAATTAACAACAAGTAGAAATGGTTAAAATTTGAAAGGTGCTAGCTCAGTTTAAGCTTAAAGATATAATGTCTCAATTAAATCAGAAGTTACAGTGTCTTGAAGTATTAGAAAATAGAGGAATGATCTCTAATATTGATAAAGAAAAAAAACAAGTATTTAAAGTGAACTTGCATCATCATTAAAAGCTTTGAATAAATTAGAATATCACCAATAGTCTCAACAGAAGTATAGATCTCAGAAAAAGCAGAAGCTTTAGCAAATAGAAAAGCAGCTTAAAGAAACAGGTTTTGATATACAGTTTGTTAGGTTGTTCAAATTTAAAGGAAGCACAGTTAGGTTTATTAGAAGCTATTGTTCAAATTGTTTCTTTAGATGGACAAGCTGATAAAAAACGGTGTTCAGAATTAATACAGTCTGTTAAGACTTTAGACTAGCTCCAAGAAGCATTAACAAATATAAATTATAAACTGTCATGCTTTGCAACATATCTTAGGCTAATTTCAAGACAGTATAGTAGTAAAAAAGGAAAGCAACATGTTAAAATGGTGCCAGTAAAGCTTCTAAAGTTTCAAAATTCAGCAAGAAGAAGCCATGATGATACCTATTTCTGCGCTGCTTTAATAAGAAATATAAAAGAAATAGTGTTATTATTAGGTCCCAAAAATGCTTTAGTAATATCTCAAGATGATAAAGCACGAATACCTCTCAGTTTAGCCACGGCCAACAAACAAAGTTACTATAATTTAGAATTACTATTTAAAATAATAAATAAAAAATAAAACTTACTAATAATAATTAATTAATTCATCAACATATATATATGTCAACTCTTCCTGTCGATTACTACAACCAAAATTAGGGTGGAAGCAAAATCAAACAATATACAAAATTTTATTAAGGCAACTAGCAAAATAGCTCTAAACAAAAAGAAAGAGCTCTTAAAAATAGATATAGTTGCAGAGTTAAATCTCTCTTTGAAAAAAATTACTTGGCTTTTACAAACTTCTCAGTAAAAACTATAGAAAAATTTTGAAAAACTGGGGATTTGTCTAGACCCTGTAATGCAGATTACCAAACAACAAACAACAAACAAATAAATGCGTATTCTAAAATAGCTAAGTAATAAAAACAAAAATAAACAAACAACCAAACAAAAGCAACATGTGTATACAAACACCAAATAGAATAGTCTAGAAGAGTTAGATATTAAATATACACAACACATAGATAGTAGATTCTAGAAAACTTTATAGCCTTATACAGTCTGAGAAATTAAATAAAATAAATATTTTGAAAATGCTAGAATTTATAAACTACAAAGACTTCTTTAACAAATCAGCTGAAAAACAAAAAGCAATACAAAAAGAGCAAATTGCCTTTAGCTTTAAAGTAGATAAAAAAGTTACAAAGTACTTAGGAACAAGTGAAACATATCTCATTGCAATTATATATAATGTTCTGCAGCTACATGATTATGCTCAACAAAAGAAAACAAGAGATCAATACTTAACTGAAGAGGAAAAAAACCTAATAGAAGATTTCAACAAGATGGAAATACAAGAGATTATATTACCCAAAGATCACTCTCAGAAATATAGTAATACTAGAAACCGGGAACCGGTGTGTGTCTGAAGCAAAATACACCATATCAGTATACATTTACCTTATAGCTTTAAATTTTAAGAGAAAAGATGCTTAATTATAAAATTTTGATCAAAAATTCAAAATTAAACATCTTTTCTCTTAAAATTTAAAATTATAAGGTAAATATATGCCGATATGATGTATTTTTATATGTAGAAGCAGTTTACTTAGAGCATTAAGGTAGATTTAATTAATATAATTTTGTGAATTTTAATATTTTCCATAATTTTATTAATAAAATTATGGAAAATATT